ATTCCAGATCCTTCTGGAACGGAGGTATTGCTGGGGTTAGACACCATCTCTTCCTACTTCTAAAAAATTTAATTAGTATTTCTTATTGACTAATAGGCAGCAGCTTTGTAGATTTCATGTCGAGCTTTTTTTTTACTTAAAGAAATGGGTCTGCTTGCGGGGGCGGTGGCTCACGGGCCGGTAAGTCCTAGCACTGCGTGGAGGCCGAGGTGGGCAGATTGCGTCAGAGGGTCGGGAGTTCAAACCAGCCTGAGCCGGCCGGCTGTCTCTACTAAAATAGGAGAGATTAATGTGACCAGAGCTAAGACGAGTATAGTATACAAAGAATTGCGGGCATGGTGGTCATGGCCTGTCAGTCAGCCTTACTTGGGGAGGGCTGGGCAGAAGGATTGCTTGAGGCGCAGGGGAGTTTGAGGTGCTGTGAGCCCTAGGGCCTTGGATGCGCACGGCGGGACGTCACTCTAGCTGGCTGTTTTTGTCGGCCAACAAAGGGAGAGCTCTGTCTCAAAAAAAAACGAGATGGGTCTTGAAAGGCCCAGGTATATGGAGGTGGAGCTGACCTTCAGAAGATGAGGTCAGGGCCGCACGGTGGCTCGACGCCGCGATCTAGCCGACTCTGGGAGGCCCAGGCGGCGAGGTGCTTGAGCCTCAGGAGTTCAAGCCAGGCTTGGGCAGACAGCAAAGACCCTGTCTCTACTAAAAATGAAAGAAATTAGCTGGGCACTGTGGTGTGTTCCTGTAGTCTCAGCTACTCAGGAGGCTGAGGCAATAGGGTTGCTTGAGCCCAGGAGTTTGAGGTTGCTGTGAGCTAGGTTGACACCATGGCACTCTAGCCCGGGCAACAGAGTGAGACTCTCTCAAAAAAAAAAAAAAAAAGATGAGGTCGGAGACAGGCAGTTGCTGTGTGAGGGCCTGAGACGGGAGGGTTTCCAGGGTGCAGTGGGAGTGACTCAAAGAAGCAGTGGTGAGTACTGGAGAACAAGGGAGGGTATGTGGAAGGAAGCCCTCTTTCTTTTGGGCACAAGGCTTCTGCTTCCCTTGCTTGTTTGGACATCTGTAGGCTTTTCCCAGTTTATAAGTGCCTGACCCTAGCACCTTACCTGACTGAGGTGACCTGATTAAGATCCTAGCACGTGGAGTTGGGGGAAGGTTACTGACCTTGCTCTAGCACCTGATGTCTCTCGAGGTAGATAGTGTGATCTCCATTTTTCTAACCCTTAAACTGGATAAATATGAAGACTTTTGGGAAAAAGTTTAGTGGCTCACACTTGTAATCCCTGCACTTTGGGAGGCCAGGAGTTTGAGACCAGCATGGGCAACATAGTAAGACCCTCTCTCTAAAAAAAATAAATAAATAAATAACTGGGTGTGGTAGTACATGCCTGTAGTACTACCATGTTTCCCTAAAAATAAGACCTACCTATAAAATAAGCCTTAGCAGGATTTCTAAGCATTTGCACAATATAAGCTCTATCCCGAAAAATAAGACCTAGTGATGGGCGTGGCTACGCAGCATATCTGCACAACCCATGCATTTCCGCGAGGAGCAGTAAAGAAGGGGAGCAGCCCTTCTCATCTGCCCAATGAGAGCTCTATCGCTTGACATGAGAGATTGGGGCCAATGGTTCTATTTTTTTTTTGAGACAGAGTCTCGCTTTGTTATTAGAGTGAGTGCCATGGTGTCAGCCTAGCTCCACAGCAACCTCAAACTCCTGGGCTCAAGCAATCATCCTGTCCTCAGCCCGCTCCGAGTAGCTGAGCTACAGGATGCGCCGACCATCCGCCTCGGCTGAAATTTTATCTATTATAGCATTATTTGGCCAATTACATTTCTTTCCTATTGGTACTAGTAGAAGACTGGGTCTCACTCTTGCTTCAGGCTGGTTTCGACACCTCCTGACCTCGAGCCAACCCCCTGCCTCCGGCCTCCCAGGTGCTAGGATACAAGGCGCTGAGGCCCACCACGCCCAGCCCAATGTTCTAAAAGAAATAGGTCGCAAGAAATTCCAGGATGGAATTCGGGGCTTTGGCAGAGTTACTGCATGTCTCCTGGACAGACTTCCAAGGCTCGGGAAAGAGAAAAAAAGAATAGATATCTATAAGAAAAAGAAAAATAAGTATTAAAACAAAGAGAGTTAGATTGGTTCCAAAGAAGACGACTTAACCTACTATTTGCAATAAATGTAGGTTGTTGTACTGCCACTTAAGAAGAATAACACATCCCCCTAAAAAAGCCCCTAGGGTGTCTTCTTGAGACAAAATAAATATAAGGACCCTGTCTTTATTTTCAGGAAAACACGTAGCTACTGTAGAAGGCATGAAGGTAGGAGGAATCCTTCCACTTGTAGCTCAGAATTCAAGGTTGCCAGCTGAGCGTGTGATCGTACCACCTATAGCTCTAGCCTGGTAAACAGCAAGAGTCTCTGCCTCAAAAAAAAGAAAAATAAAATCGCAAATTCAGAGCAGTTCTTGTATGCTGATTTTTCTCTCCATTAACTATGCCCGTGTAGGCAAGGATTTGCAGGAATCTGGTGTGGTGACTTACACCTTAATCCCAGCACTTTGGGAGGCTGAGGTGAGAGGATTGCTTGAGACTAGAACATTGAGACCTACCTAAACAAAAAAAAAAAAGCTTAGCTGGGTGTACGGTGGCAATGTGCCTTTATAGCCCAGCTGAGCCAGGAGGATAGCATTGGAGTCCGAATTTGGAGGTTGCCAGTGAGTTGCGATCATGCCACTACATTCTAGCCTGGGTGTGAGATTAAGAACCTATCTCAAAAAAGAAAAAAAAAAAAAAAGATTTGCAGAAATGGATGTAGTTACTGAGAGAATGTATTTAAGATGTTTTTTCCCAAATAACTAAAATTTCTTAAAATCCTGGTGCTTGATGATTTGATGATTATTTAACATCATCAGCTTTAATCCTTAACATATCCATGCAAATTTAAGTTTGTTATTGAAAAGAAAATACTAAATTGGCAATCTGGTTTTGAATATAATATTCTTTTTTTAATATTGTTAAAATATTTTTCTTATCTTTTTTCTCAGAATTCATGTTGAATGGTTTTGAATATAATATTCTCGTTGAAATTTTAACAATCTTTTCTTGTAGCTTTTGAAGTCATTACAATGTTCCTGAAAACTTAAGAATAAAGAAGAAACTAAAAATAGCTCATAACCCATTTCATTAAAACATTGGAAGGGTGGAAGTTCCCTATGCTTTCAAAAGCAGAAAAAGCACGGTGGCTCACGCCTGTAATCCTAGAACTCTGGGAGGCCAGAGGCCGGGCATGGTGGTGCATGCCTGTAGTCCCAGCTACTCGGGAGGCTGAGGCAGGAGGATTGCTTGAGCCAGGAGTTTGAGGTTGCTGTGAAGCTAGCTGACCGCTACGGCACTCCACTCTAGCCGGGCAACAAAGCAAGAGACTCTGTCTCAAAAAAAAAAAAAAAAAAAAAAGGCAGAAAAAGTAAAAGCCCGCCTCTCCCAAACCATCCCATAGAGTGGCTGCCAGCTCGCACGTACTCTCTATCCCATAACATAAAAGCAGGAGGACACACTGTCCGTTGACCTTTACCTGCTTCCCTGTAGTGAAGGAGCTGGGATGAGCTGCACTACCAGGACACAGATTCAGATGTGCGCAGAGCAGAGGACAGCAAGTGGCAAGGTCAAATACCACAGGAGGTGAGTGGGCATGGTGACTCTGTGCAGGGCGGAGGCTGGCTAGCGACCTGAGCCTGGGGGGTCGCCTGATGCTCTTGACCAATGATGGAAGGGGAGGGGCGCAGTGAAAGAGGTGGATGGGTTCCTCTGGTCTTCCGATGTCTGCTTCTCAAAAAGAAGCTTTCCTTGGGGATCAC